ACTCTAAGATCTGACTAGAAGACCTAAATATTTACGTGGAAGCCTGCGGATTCCTTTAGCTCCTCTGTAAACAGAGGATGGCCTCCTGCCCTCTCTGCTGCCTCCACTTTTCCAGTGACTGGTACTCCTACTTTCTGCTAAATCTTTCCTAGTATTAACACAGCAATCAATGATTTTTTTCCACTAACCCACCCCAGAAACGCAACTACAAAACCGCCTGTTTCTGGGAGGAGAAAGAAGCTAAGAAGCAACTCTGAAAAGCTCAGACTGCCTAGAAAAAACACAAACAAGCCACTGAAGCTATAAAGAACCCTAAGCCAAGTGCTACAAGAGGGAAGCCTGCGGTTGATCAGCTCTGGAGAGCAGAACATTATAAAACACTTCAAGGGACATGAGGAGAAGGCTGCCAGCAAAAACAGCAACAACAAAAAATCAAAGCAATGCCTTGAAGTCTTTATGGGTTCCAAAAACTCCACACTGCTGCCAATCTGTGTGTTCACTATACTGTAAATACACACAGATTTTGGGAGAATTCACTTCAGACAGTTCTTTCAGTCCAAGTATCCTGGCAAACAAGTCAACAACATTTGTCTTTTTTCCTGATTTTGCTAGCAGCATAAAGGTTCTTCCTTCATTGTAAGTGATCAAATGTAATGAATGTGGTGCCAAACTTGTCAGCTTGAATGGAGGGAGAAGGTGGAAAGAGCAGAAGTATTGGTAATATGGTACTCCACCATCTGCAGTCTCTTCTGTTACTGGCTTCAGCACAAATTTCAGTAATTCATAAATATTTGAATGCTCAAATGTGCTCACATTACTGCCTCAGACACCATCCATTTTTCCTTACCAACAACACCAACATAGTCTGTAGAGTAGATGATAGCCTACTGCTAACTTAGGACCTGGAATAACATGAAAATTAAATGCTGAAAAAAAATCCTGAATGGCTAGATACACTATGGTAGTACCTGCTTTGGAAAAATCAAGCGTCAGGTTATGTGCAGGCATCTCTGCAAGGGGAGCACATCAGGTGCCAAGCATCCCAAGAGACCACAGCTAACATGACTTGGGGCAAAAGTGGTGAATTTTAGCAGTTGCATGATACAACCTGAACCCTTAAAGAGATGTATTACTGCTAAAGACAAACTTCCTCCCAAACCTTTCACACATCCTCCAAACCCAAAAAAGATACATCAAAAACCTTGAGCAATTAGTTGTACTGTTACTTTACCCAAGCTCTCTTTTTCCTACGATGTCTGGAGGAACTTCATATTCCACAGCACTTCATTCACATTCACATGCACCAAACACTGTTATTCCAGAACAAGCTTTCTCACTACAGGGGTGCTGCAGCCCTGACGCCACACTATTTTACAAAGTACCTTGAGCATCTCCCTCCTATCTTTACAGAACAGCTTTGTCTTTTCAGATCCCTCCTTCCAGATTAGGGACTAGGAGGGGAGCTCTGCCTAAAGTACAAGATGTTTCCCTTCCACGGAGCACAAGATGAATGAAAAGGGAAACGTCTCCACAAACCCCCCTGCGCAGAGCCTAGCCCCATCCAGGGCACAGTCAGACACTGCAGCCTGCTCTACAGCACTCAGTCTCGCAGCCAACAGGAACCCTTGGCCCACACAAACCTCCTGACTGAAGATTTTTAGAAGGCCACAAGCTCATGTGAGAAGCAAGTGAGCAGGTCGCACCCCCAGCTCTTTCATTCCTGCTCTGGGCCAGGGTTATTTTTACTGAGAGCCCCTAGGCTCAGGCAGTGCAGCCTCCTTGAGAACAGATGCCTCTAAACATGGCATCCAACAATGACAGAGTGGGCATGGACACAACAGCTGCAGGGATTTCCACACCTGATTCTGTCCAAAGAAAGGCCCTCCAGCCCCTTCCTTCCAGGCACCCAGACCCCAGCAGAACGGGAAACTTATCTGAGCAGGAAAATTATGGCACGGGGCCTGCCCTAACATGGTGAAAGTTAAAGAAGAATAAGGATTTACATTGGTTAATGGCAGCAAAGCTTCTCCCAGAATCAGCCAGCCCAAACTGGAATAAGGCACCATCCTCACAGGTCAGAGTTCTGTGTTCTTTGACAGCAGTTTGGATAACCAGAACAGCATGACAAGTTCTCATTAGGAATTGTTTTTTTCGTGTTTGATGCTTCATCCAAGTAAAATGTTTATAAACACACAGAATCATTCCTGCCGTGACAGACCATGACCTGAAAGGGCTGAAGGTCCCCAAGCAAGGCACATAGGCTACACAGCCACCAGCATTAAACACAGCTCGACCAAAGACAGAAGAACCACAGGCAGAGCAGTAGTTCATTCAATCCAGCCAGTACCCTAATAGTGAACAAAAACCAGATGAACTGAAAATAGTATCCTTGCTTATAAATGACAGTTGCAGTTTAGAATCTTCCTGAGAAGGTTTCAATATATTAAGACACACTTACTAAGCATCTTCCTCAAACTTGTCCAAACTTCTCTCAAATCATTATATGCTTTTAGTATATAGCACCCTGTGACAAGGAATTCTATGCCTCAGTTTTCTGACACACGAGCAACTACCTTCTTTGATCTATTCTAGCTCCTGCTTGTCTCACTTGACGCCACTCACTCATACTCAAGAACAAGAACTCAATGCATTCAGCTTCTCCTTGGCATGTTATTCCCTTTCCACTCACATGTTTTACAGACTGGCAAGTCCCAACCTACTCAGTCTTTCTTTGGACAGGAGACTCTGACAGCAGATCTCTGATGAACCTCAATTTCCCTTCTCTGCACCTTCACCAGTTCCTTTTGAAGATCTGTGAGACCAGATCTGGATGTTATTCAGACAAACTCTGGTCCATACACAGCAAAGTTCTCTAGTTTGTTCTGAATACTTTGCTTTGGAAGGAGGTTGTTTTTGATTTGACTGCTATTCAGTAATGAGATGATGATTTCATCACCTTAAGACTTTGCTCCAAAGCCATAATGATCAACACAAGAGTTCACTGAGCTGTGTTTGAAGCTCAGATTACTTTCCCGGCACATCATCACAGTTACCTATGTTGAGCCATCTGGGTAAGCCAAAAATGCGAAGTCATCCAACTGTTAACTAATGTGACAATAATCTCTTTGTAATGTCATGTTACAATCCCTAAAAATATTCTAAGTATGAGATTTTACTTGCTTTCCACATTTTGCAAGTAATTGTACTGATTCTGTATAATTAAGATTGTGTTTAAAAACTCAATTTTATTTAATTACACCCAAATTCTCAACATAACCACTAGTTTAATTTGACTATGGTGTGATTACATGTGGCATGAATAAAACATATCTTAAATCACGTTTGGATTTGACACCCTTTAACTTAGTTGGACATTATTCCTCTTTCACGGTGACAGAGAGGATATGAGAAATGAGAAAAAATCCTTTCCCTAAAACAGTTCATTTGCAAAGAACTTTCCACTTTTAAGCATAGCATCTTGAACAGTCCCAGTTCTGTACCAAAGTCAAGGCTTTGCACCTTTGCCACGTGCCACAACAAGCACTGCAGTCCACGGAAGGCCACTGCAGACTGGAGATGTTTGACACTAAAACTGACCAGGTTCTTCACAAAGTTGTGATTTCTAATGAAATCCCTAAGACTGAGCTGTAAGGCACCTCCAAGTCTTTAAAGAGCACTAATTGAACATGTTTTCATGTTTCAGGGACCTGCCACGAGAATGAATTTCATAGTAAATGTCACAACTAGGAAACCAGGAAAATGCCACACGTGTAACAAGCACCAGTAGTGGTGCCAGGTACAGAACAAAGGCTTTAACGCAGTAAATTAAACAAAATTCCTGCCATAAGGCTTCTTATTTCAAAGAGAAATACAAGATGTGCACTGAGGAAGAGAAAATAAAAGAACAGCACTGCAGGGCGGGGGAGGCAGGCAAGGGGTAAATGAAGGTAAGCAGAAGATTTAGAACATTTTAGAAAACAGACCAAAGTTAACAAAGGAGACCAGAACCAGCATCAGGGGATCAACAGGAGGCAGATACATATCTGAACATTCAAACCTCTAAAAGCATCTTCATGTGTATTTCTTCCACATGGCCTGGTCGGGAAGTTGTGAGACTTGGAAAACTCCATTGCAAACAACTTCCGAGGCATGCCAATCACTACCTAATTCACCATGCTGTCTGAAAAGTCCCTTTCTCTATCCCCCTCCCCACCCCAGCTCTTCTGCTCCCTCAGGGGAATCGAAGAAGAATTCTCTTGTTTGCATGAGCCTTTAGTCTGAATGATCTCTGGTGCATTAGTCTGGAATGGTCCATGCAGATCTGAATGACAGAACATTTTAAAGAGTGTGACTTTGGGGCAAAGTCACTGGCAAAATCATTCAACCACTCCCAGCACATGTGTGATCTACACAGCCAATAGTCTCTGGCCAGGGACTTCAAGACCACCCTGACACTTGCAAAAAACCTCCAGGAATCTGAATTTGAAAACCTGTATTTCAGTACTTTCAGAGAAAAATTACACAAAGAGAATGAATATTCCTCAGTGTACATTGACTCTCACATTGTGATTTCAAAAAGGTCAGATTTCTGTCTAATACGGCCTCTAGTTCCCACTGCAGAAATTGAAAACAATTCCCTGTCCACTCTGAGTCTCATCTTTTACTATCCTAGTCTAGCTACAGACAGAGCCCACCGAGCTCAGCTCTCTTTAACATTCCAGGTTAAATGCAGCTCCAGCTCTGGAGGGCACGGAGTGTGTACTGAACAATGCAAATCCCCACCCCTGCCCCCAGTGTGACTCTGCCTATTGCTGCACAAGGTGGACCTCTTCTGGTGAACAGCTTGTGCTCCAAAACACCTGGTTCCACTAGCCTTAGCTGAGCAGAAGCCTACAGGGATCACAGCATTATACAGCTTCTTTTAAAAGTAACTAAAGCCTGAGGCAGGGTTAAGGGGAGCACAGACCAGAGAGAATCAGAGCCCACGTGGGAGTCCTTACCTCAAACAGCGTCAGACTTTCATCGTTCAAGACGATTCTGGGAGGTGCAACAACTGAAGTTAAAAAACACGTTATAAAACAGGACCACCTAGCAACCAGAACATCAGACAAAGGTATGGGAGGCATCCCTGCCCTCTGAAGGGGAGATACGTTCCCATGCCCACAGATGCTGCTTCTTAGGCAGAAGCATAACATGACTAAGGGAGCAGGTTACACCTTCTCTGCACTGTGAAGCTATGTTTTAGGGAAGGCATTCCTTCCCAGGTCATTTCTCAGGCATCAACATCCCATAGGTAGAAACAGCCTTTGTAAAATAAGGCCAGATATTACCAACAGCACTCACACAAGTAAAATGGCAGCTCTGCATCGGCAAGGTGGCTTCTTACAAAGTTTCTCAAAATGCCAACTGTGGAAAAAGGAGAGAAAGGCTTGCTAAATTACATTTGGTTCTTCAAATGTTGGGCAAGAAGGCTAACTTGTAACAGCAGAAATTCCCTCTAGCAGGTATGGAGATTGCCTTGTCCTCCAAAGTACACAGTTACTATCACAAATTTCTTGTAGAAAAAACAAACAAAACAAATTACTTTGGCATGTTGGTGCCCTGGAAAAATCTAAGGATGCCTGCAAAATTATCAAAAAAAGTTTGTGCAGGTAACCCTGGCTGACAGCTGAAAATAAGAGGATCTCCAGTAATAACAGTAAGAGCTACTTGGTGCATGGTCTGATCACCTTTTGTGAACTGACAGAGCCATAAAGGCACATCCTCTCTTAGAACAGTTGTTAAAGTTGGGTTTTTTTTCTCCTTCCTGCTTTTTGGAGTTTGATTTGGATTGGGGAAGGGGGTGTTTTTTCCCCAAAAATGTTTTATGCATTAACACAGAGGAAGTCTCCAAGTGCATCCAGTAACATATAATTTTGACACAAACAAGGGAATAGCAAGTGGGACAGCTTCCTCTGCACACAAGGACAAGTATTTTGTCACCTCCACCAAGTAGCCCTTAGCTAACTTAACTAGCCCCAAGTCCCATCTTAGCCCATTCAGGGGCCTTACAACAACAGTGTAACTACCTACTGCTGCTTTTTCAGAGCAGCTTTACTTCGCCAGGCAACAGAAAGACCTGCTCAGATACACTCTCTCCTGTCATGAGTGAGAGTCATGAGTTACAGCTGCACAGGCTGAAGGGGTGATGGGTCTTACCAGTTTCAGTGGGATGGAAGAACCCTTGTAGAACATGGCGGTCTGGAAAACGAACTCTCAACACCACCTAAAGCAGAGACAAAGCTGATTAGGACAGTGGTTTATCACTGCCCTGTAACAGCTTGTTACACCTGCCCTTGGCTTAGAGTCTGCAAGTTGTTTGTGGTTTTGTTTTTTTTTTTTAATGGGAAGATCTGTGGTACTTACAGGGATGGAAGAGCAACCTGGCTAACAGTGCTGTGCACCTTCTCAGGGAACAAGGGCTGTCTGGCTGTCAAATGGGGCACAAGAGCTCATCTGTCAAAGCACTACGATGTAAAGTGCAGCAGCACTTGCTGAGAAAGTAGGAGCTCCCTGTGCTAAATGATGCACAAACAACAAAGACAGTCCCTCATGGGGAGGTGCAGACAGTTTATTGGCATCCTAATGTGTCCACAGCAGTAAGAATCCTCCTGACACACCCCTGACCTTTGTACTTCTAGCTTGGACAGCAAGCACTTAACTTTAGAACTGCATAAGGGTCACAGTTACAGAGTAAAATAAATCTAACTTGTAACATTGAATCACTGAACTTTCAATGAGATTTTAAGATGTCTACAGAGAGGCGGGTGGGAAGGCTCAGTCATACAGACTGATGAGCGCACAACAGAAGGGTTTTGAGACATCTGGAACGGAACAGAACAGAAGCAACTCTACTGCCTGCCACTCAACCAGTGACATATTACCATATCACAGTACAGCTGTTTTCACAAGGCACAACTGTTATGCAAGTCCCACAGACAATTAATAGGGATGGGAATTTGAAAAATATTCCTATAAGTAGCTTAAGGGCATGTTGATCACAACTAAATCCCAAGGTACTCAATCCCCAAGTCTGGACTAGCCAGAGGGACTGAAAAATGAGCAAACACTACCTTTGGGTAACGCTCCAACTTCTCCTTCAGCTGGGACTCCTTCAAAGACTTTGTCATCAATGGAGCTTCTTCCAGACGTTTTCTACAGACATGGGAAGAAGGCAAGTTGTCTGTAATTTTACAATGTATTTTTCCTTTATTAAGCTAGCAGAAGACCTAAGCAGGGCTGATGAGAACTGCTCAACTGTTCGATGCATTTCTCACAGCATTTTCCCCACCTCCTGAAACTACTGAGCATCAGCAACAATACCATATAAAATTACTTTTAGTGTACAAGTTTAAAAGTCAGTTTGTGACAGCAGATGCAAGAAAAGATCCTAAGAGGACAGGAAAGTCTGCTGAGGCAACTATAGAAGAGATGGACTTATTAATCAAATAAAGTTGGTTGCACATGATGACACAGCAGCAGAAGAGTTACTGAACTTGAAAAATAACACCGGCACAAAAAATTAGTATTAAGTAGCAACAGGGGAAAAAAAAATGAAGAGTTTCAGATTCTTCAAGAACTGTTGCCATTGTAGGCAGCTCTTAAAAGGAATAGTGGGAACAAAATAAAAGTCTTCTTGTATTCAAGATGAAACAATAAATATAAGAAAATAATTACATATTTGCCCATAAGTAAAGAAATTAGCTTAGACCAAACAGATCCCATGCTCAGCTTTAGTACCTTTTCATTGTATTTGAGTAACTGATGTGTAATTTGCTTTTATTTTTATCCCTGGCTGTAAGGAGAAAGCATCACCAAATTTGGAAACTGGGTCTTTTTTGAGAGGCCTGTATTTCAGTAATCCCCCAACGAAATGACTCTACATTTGTACCACTAAATACTCCAGACCCACAAGCAGCAGAACAATTTTCAGGCCATATTCTATGTTCTCAGAGGCCTGTAGGAAAAAAAATCAACTCTAAGTAAAAAGTTCAACTTGGATTTAGCTACAGCATAAAGGAAACTGTTTCATAGTCTTGGAGAGTTATTGTAATGCTTAAAGGAATGTTTTTACTCACTTGAAACTAAATACATTCATGAAATTAATTTCTTTATGGAACATACAGACAGCAAAATCCTGCTGTGACAGGAAGGCCAGTTTATCTTCATCTGAGTTTTTATTGAACTGAAGTTCGATGAAGTAAAATCATGGATATTTGAAAACAAGCTACCTGAACAGTGCAATACATTGTTTGTCAGCTTCCTATAATTTCTATATGTGCGTGTGTGTGCCTGTTCCAAACATTCTCAGGTCCTGACTTGTGGCTAAGTTGGTCTTTCTGGTGAGGTCTAACAAAAGGTTAATTCTGCTACTTAGAATATAAGGTGTTTCTAACTGGCCAAAAATGCAACAAGCTCTGTTGAACACCGTCGCTCTGCTCAACAACAGGACACAGCAAATCTCGCTCCCAGCAGCCAGGGAACTTGCCTCTCATTCTGCAGCTGTGCCAAACGTTTCCGTACATCGTCCACTGTGACTTCAAAAAATTCATCAGGAAGCTCTTCTGGGCCATCAGAAAATTGTTCCAGTAGGTCTAGGTGACATATAAGGGGCTCACGTTCTACAAGCTAGAGGAAAAAAATGCGCTTCAATTAGTTTTAAATGCACTGCTTTGCTTATCTTATAAGGTTGCTGAAAAAGAGTAAAAGAACAGTATTTGCAAACTGTCTTTCGACCTGTTCAGCTCTCTGAACTAAACCTCTACAGGGTTTCATTGCACACCTTTCAAAATTTTACCCTGATTTCTGGTGTGCAGAAAGATCCCTTGAACAGTGAAACCCTTTCTTTCTGCAGTTACAAAGTAAGTACTCCACCCTGAGATCAGCCTTTGCTGCAACCAGAGCACACAGATGCCGGAGAGCAGCTCTCGGCAGGCATCAGCTGCAATGGAGGTACTTGATACATTTCCTGCCAACTTTTCCTACAAACCAGAGCTGAGAGCAGCCACTCCAAGCTGCACACAGACACTTCTCTCACCTGCCCAGCAGGGCACAGAGAGCCTGGCTGCCTGCTCCCTCAGCCTCCAGAGCCCAGAGCTGGGTGTCACGATGGTAAACCTTACAGTGCAACTGGGCCTAGCCTGGAACTGTGGTTGCAGCTATGAAAAAAACAAACCAAAACAAGCCAATACCAAAACCCACAATCCCCTAAGAAACCCAAACCAGAGACCCAGCCACTGAGATTAAGAGCATCTGTCATCTCTGCAGGCAGTAGGACTTTAATAGATCCCTCCCCAGGAAAGGTTATGTGCTGGCTACTCTCTCTTTTGGCCAAAGCAGCAGCTGTGCCTGCATGAGAAAACAAACCACGACCAGAAACAAGCATATGAGAGGCAGTTACACCTCCTGGCTCTCAAACAAGTCAAACTTTGTACATTCCCAAACTGTTGGAAGGAACAAAGCTTGCAAACAGTGAACAGCATACTGAAGGCTACAGGAGATGCAGGGAGGACCCAGCTCGTGGCTGAAGAGGCTCACAGGAACACATTTTGGTAGTTCATCCAGCATTTCTTCCTAGTCAGCTGCCAGCTTAACAATACCACACGCTCTGTGAATGAACCCTCATCTCCCCTCATTCTCTCATACACTCTTTCCAATCCTAATTAGCACCCGGATGTCCTCCCTCCATCCACTCACCCCTCCCCCTGGCACTGGCCACTTGGGAACAGGAGTCTTCTCAATTGTCTAAAGCACAACACAAATTACAAGGCAATGTTCACTCTACTTGTGGGCACCAAAGGGTAATTTGAGAAATTAAAAGATCGAGGTCGTGTGGGTGGGGCCTTTGGCTACTTTTAGAAAGTTGAGCAGGGTCAACCCTAGGGAGCAGGCAAAGGAGCCCGACTGCAGCGTTCCCCGGGCTGGGCTGGGGGTGCCAGTGCTGCAGGAAGGACCCCAAGTGCCCAGGACCACCTGCTGGGAAGAAGCAGGCGGCACTGTGATCCAAACCACTGCCCACTGATGCTCCAGTGAGGGCACATCTATGTCAGAGCCCAGAGGAGATATTAATCAGGCCTCCCCAAGAAGCCAGTGTACTTTAATCTCCTCAAACAGGCTCGAGTTTCATTTCATTTCATTCTAAACATGTAGCAAAAACAGACATCTTCTGAAAAAGCCCAAACCCAAAAGACTGAGGAGGCATATCCTACGGCATGCTGTGAAGGGTGCTAGGATACAATGGAGAGAACTCCAAAGTCTGCATTAGCAAATCCTAAAGTTACCATTTAGTATTGGCTCTAACAAGGACTTTAGTTAATCCCAACAGCAGTGGGATTCCACAGGGAAAGGCCAGTCCCCATACAAATTATGCTGAGAGCTAATGGCATCTGCCAAGGCAGTGGCAATCACAAGACGGCACAAGGCAGACATATACTCCAGTCCTAAGTGTTCACTCCTCTTCCTTGCTGTGGGCTCCAACAACCCTAAAGCACAGACAGATCATCCAAAAATTAACTTCCCACAATGATTACAAAAGAGACTCCAGGAATACTAACCCAGTTCCCAGCCCACCGCACATGCAGTGCTTTCTGCAACTGTGACAAACAATAACCATCTCCTGTAACAATAAATGGCCACCACAAGGATGTTCTACTTTCCATCCTGTAAACTTGGAGGAAAGCAAGCTGTGCATTTTGCTGTCCTGCTTCTTCCAGGAGCCAAAGATGCTATGCTAAGGTTTGGCACCTTCCTTTTACAAAGTCTATTCTACCAAAGCTGAAATGTCAGGCACTTTTCACCATGAGGCTGAAGTCGTATGTTCACAGCAACACCTACATATGTGCAGCCCATGTGACAAAAACAGGTGTCAGGAAGAATGCAGTTCACTCTGTGATCACCATCCTGGTCCCAGGGAAGCAGGTAAGCTAAGAAGAACTCTTACGGTTTAAGTGAAATTATGGTCATTGTGCTTTCCACAGCAGCAAGCTCTCTCCAGAGACCCACTTCCTCCACACCACCTCTGGGAGCTCTAATCTCATGGTGAATCTGGTTTAAAGTTACCTTCTAATAATTAACATTCTGACATCAAAGTCAGCTTGCAGCTGTCTGTAAACCATCTTTAGCCTAAGAAACGAAGGGATGCCAGCACAGATTTTATCCAGCCTCTCTTCAGCTTCAAAAACCACACACAGGCAAAGCATTAATGGGAAGATTCTTTTAAAAAATGGACCTTTGATGTTTAAAAATAAATTGTTTTGTTTTGGGTTTTTTTCCTCAGGACTGAAAAAGGACAAAAAGCAGATGCCATGTGGCTAGCCCTACTTGGCTGTTGCTGCTGGGAGGAGAGTGGAAGATGGCAGGAGTGGAGGAGGGAACAAAATGTAATCAATCAGCAGCAAAAGTACCAGAGATCAAAGGGCTTGAAAGCAGCCGTCAAAATCACATGCTGTTTAACACAAGGACACAACTCCCCCAACAGAATCTGCAGCTGCTTCCAAAGCTGCTCTCAGAGTGGAAGGGCAGCTGGCTCCAGAAACGATTTGAACTGGACTGTGATTCTGAGAAATACATCAGTTCATGTGAGTCCTTCAGTCACCACCACTCAGCCCATGTCCGAAAGCACAGCTCCACATCAGGCTGTGAAATCAGTGAAATGATGGACTTCTGCCTCTCCCACCAGAGCACAGAGAGGTGTGGGCAATAAGACTGGTGAAGGATACCACCACAAACCCTTGCAGTTCTTCTCCCTTCCCAGACACAATGGAAATGGAAATGACTCTCCAAGTCATAGACACGAGTGTCTGAAAACTGAAGCAAGCAACACATGAGACTGGACAAATTATCCAGCCTACTGTTTAATTCTCCATGTTAAGGGTCTGCTCCAAAAGGTTAGATAACACTGATTAGACAGACCCAAACATGTTTCCAATATACTGAAATATTCCCCACTGCAGGTTGGCATAACCTCTTTCTGCTACTTGTGTAGTTCCTAACTGCTCCAGAGTCCTTCCAGGGTCTGGCTTCTGTTTGTAAACAATTCAGAACTCATCAAAAATAGGCTGCAACAACAAAGAAGTCAACTAAGGTAGAGTCTCTACATACATGTGAAAGCATCCACAGTCTTGTTAAATTCCTCCTGGACTAAGCTCCCTTTGAAGCTCCCCAGGCATTCTTTCTTTCTACTTACAGCTTTCTATTGCTCAATCCTGGCTGGATCAGACCACGGGAGATTCAAACCTCCAACTCTAGGAGATACCAAAGAGTCGGAAACAACAAAGGGGATCTCTGAACATGAAAGCCAGCCCCAGTGATGAGCCAAAGGAGCAAGAAAAGAGCCACTCACTGAGAATCCAGAATGGGAAACTCTCAGTGCATAATAACAAGGAGTAAATTATTAATTGAATAGCTCCTGTACTTCATGTTATGCTACTAGCCAGACATACCCAATCTTCCTGAAGGCGTTCAATTCCATACAGCTGCCCTTCAGAAAACACACTTCAATGTCATTCCCAGGTCACTCTGGGATGGCATCACAGTTCTGGTATCTCAATATGGGCTCAAGCACTTCTAATTTTAACAAACACAGTTTTATTTCAGAGACACCAACAATGGTGAGATGTGCAGTCTTTCTGAGGAACAGTTAGAGAGAGGTAGATTATTTAAGAAGCGAGATATTTTAGATTAGGACAAAAAACACTTCTATAAGCACACAGAAATACAAAAGGAAAAGGATGGAAGATTTCTGTTTCATCTGCAATACTAAGAAAATTAAGTTACAGGGCTCAGGTAAAAAAGTGGGCATTTGTTCATGAAATCTGAGGCACTGAGGTGTAGGATCTTCTGGATTGTGATTTAATGCAGCTGTGTTGCCTCTATTTAAACTATTCATCAAGGATACCTAGAGATTCAAAGTTTTGCCTGCCTCTGGACAGCAAATTCTTAAACTCAAATCCTTCCTACTTCCTTTCTGAACTCCGGCAGAACTGTATATCATCAAGGCACCTAATCCTGTGACATAGGGAAAAAAGTCCTAAATCTGGAAACATCTTTTTCCTCATGGGAGTGCAGCCTCAGGCAAGGCAGGATAAATAAAAAGCCCTTGTTTCCCAAACTGCAAACACATTTTCCCTTACCTGTTCTTGCTCCTTTTGCAGTTCTTGGCTGTTCTTAGACTTCTTTGGCTTAGAAGGGCCTCCAGGGCTGGAAAAAGTTGTTGGCAGCTTTGAAGATGGTACAGCTACAGGAGAGTCCCCCAGATGCTCTCCATCTCCAAAAAAAGGGACAAATGGGGTAGGTTCAGGCTCTGGAGAATGCCATAGCTCCTCCAAGCTAGCATGAGAATCTTTAATCAAGTCTTGCTTGTGTGTGCTGCTGTTTAAAGATATAGCCACATCCCTGTGCTCCAAGTCCTTTGGAAATGTGTTTGCTTGAGGTAGAGGCACATCCGCTGCTTCTTCCATAGAGCCTCGCCTCACTGTTGGCTCATTACAAGGCACCGTGGCACCCACAACTTCTGCCCCACCAGATGAACTGCATTTCTTCATGACAACTCTTAAAGAAGACACCAAAAGGAATAAAAATAACATCATAATCCTAAGAGTACTGCCCTCCCTATTCTCAATGTGTCCACGACACAAAGACAACAGCTGCCTCAAGTACACCCTGATTTAACAACTTTCTTCTTCCAGATGCTTACAGAGAACAAACTCCAGTTGCTGTGAAGTGTGGGGTAGAGGGTCAGGGGGTTATGCCAAACAACAGAACGGGGACCTGCTCCTCTGGAAGAAAATGGCCTTCCAGAGGACAGCAGCAGTCAGTTGTAAAACATAGCTTCAATCACTCCTGCTTTCTGTATATACTGCAAAGAGCTGGCCAGGAGATCACAGAAAGGTTGCCCTGGCCCAAATTCACTCTGCAAAAGCCAGCAGGGCCTGCAGGGGCTGGGAGTTAAGTGCCTGAGACCCAGAGCAGGGAAGAATGAAGTGGTAGCTGATTGCCCTCTCAGAGAGACTTTCAACTTTGAATTGTCTGTTCCACTCAAAGGAGAAAGAAAAAAGAAAAAAAAAAAAAAAGAAAAAAACAAACCAGCTCTTTTAATCTGCACATGACTGGTCAGTGGCAGCATCTGCTGCTGTGCAAAGCACATCTGGGCAGCAGTTTGAGATAAACAGGCAAATGCAATAATTTCTGAGTGCTGCAATGTTTTAGTTTGGCATCTATTTTTGTGACTTTTTTTTCCTTTGTCTTTCTTTTGATACTTGAAACAAAATAAATTCACCGTCAGAGTGGAAAGGGAAAATAAAGAGGCCAAACTTTGCTTCTCCCAACCTGAGGATGGCATTGCCTCCAATCAGGCCAAGCGATTTCAGTGTTGTCTTCTCCAGGGCATCTTTTCCTGATATCTGAGACAAAACCAGAGGAGAGTAATTATAGCCTCTGATTCCCCAGGAAACCATGCAAAGCTCTTTATAGAAAGAAGCCTGTATCCAAAGAAACACCACACAACACAAGAAACAGGTAAAAACCCACTCCTGCAGCTGGAAATCAGACCCGAATCCACCTGTATCAATCTGTACTGTTTTACCAAATTCACAGCTTATTAAATCATCCCAATGGAAGATGACCTACATACATTTTCATCCCATACACACATCCAAGTGGAATCCAACTACAGCAAAGCTACTTTTATGTCAAAAGCTAAATGACAGGCAACATCTCAGAGCTGCAAGACAGACAATTTGCTTACGTACACCTCCTACCCGTCTGTAGTGACCTATTCAGAATAAAGACAATCTGTCCACAGAGGTCAGTGGGAAGTAAAGGGGACAGCAGGGCGAGCAAATTCCGTAATATCCACATACAAAATATTTAACAAAACATTAATAGCAAAAGATCAAAACAGAGAAAAGCAAATATTTACTAAAATGAAAACACTGTTTTGACTCTAGCTTTAAAAGAAGTTGGAAAGAAAAACACAAACAGGTCATTGAGCTCATTTTATGGGCTCAGAGGTCTCAGCGGCACCAGGTTACGTTCCAAGAGAACTTTTTTCCATACAGACATGTCATGCTTTGAAAAGACCAACGTTTTTCTACTTCCCCTCTCAAGAAAGTTCAAAAGAAACACTTTCCAGGTTGGAAAGCAGAGCTAAGTTTTCTTACGTTTTAGGGACATGAGACAGTTGAGAGGCTTTGCTGCCTTACCTCATCTCGCATGTAAATACAGACCGGAGACAATTCACCGTGCTGTTCCATCAGTTCCCTGCAAAAAAGAGCAAAACACTGCAGCATGTGCAGAACAGCCTGCCCCCTCCAAAACCAGCACAGAGTAACAGTACAAAGTGAAATCAGCTGCCAACACTGTCTTCCATGTTTCTCCAGCAATAACCACTACACAGTTTATAGGATCACTATTAGACATTAGCATTCACTTTTCTTAAACACAGCTTAAAAGCTTAAAAATAAACAAATAATTAAAGTAAATTCTGAAATTAGCTGATCTTATTAGATAAATTTAAGCTCATCACTGCTTGTGTGCCTCAGTACCCAATCTGAAACATTACTTAGTTACGTTTGCTCTTTTTAATCCAAGTTAAAAACTTCATCACAGTTTAGACTGAACTTTCACTGGGAAGAGGTCCATTTCTTTTCACATATGCTCAGCAACCAATGAAATTAAATACCACTCTAGAGCAGATCAACTAAGGACAAGAAACTTGACTGCCTTAGTATAATTTTTAAAAAAGAAAAGGGAAAGTAAACAAACAAAAACTAAGAGCATAAATTTTCAGATTCTGGAAACCATGAAAAAAGTAAAGCCAAATGAAAGGTTGCCACTGTAGACAAAATGAAAATCACGCCATATTTAAGCATTTCACTGATGTAGGACATATATGAGCAAGGATGCAAACTCCAGACAGCCCATCTGCAGAGGAAGACGGAAGCAAAGGACCCTTAGCATCGAGATGGGGAAAAACCAGTAAGATGCTACCCTTTCCATTTTCCTCTAGATAAGCAATCCTGTGGCATTCCAATAAAAGAGAAGTTTTATTATATGCTCACTTGATCAAATACAAAAGACAGACAGGGAAAGGACAATCACAGCCTATCACAGCAAGTCTCGGTTCTCTTCCAGCCAAGACCTGTGATTTCAAAAAGGGAAAATAAAAAAGATGGACGCTTCCAGCAAGAAAACCTCAGATGTCTCCAGAAAAGTAAAAAGCCTTAAAGAATTAGCCATTATGCCTCATTATGCTGAAGCACTGGAATCAATGAGAGCATCAGACCCAACATAACAAGAAGCTCTGTCACATTGTTCTCCACTCTCAGCAAAGCAAAACTCAAACTGGTATCATAAGAAAATGTGGTAAAACACAAGACTGAGGAGAACACTTTGCTTCTCACTCCAAGCATGCCAGCCTAAGAGGTGACCAGGAAAATACTGTCCACCCTAAGACAGTGCTGGTTTGGAAAGATATACCTGGCTGAATTCTCAAAAGCGTTTTTTCAGAAGTTTCAGATTCAGACATTTCAGCCTACCTCAGCCTGGGAAACTACAAAAGGTGAGAACGTTGCCTCGGATTTTTCCCATCTACACAATGAGAACTGACAAGATTTATCCTTCTCCATAGACCCCGGTAGCTCTTCTTAGCACATTCTGTCTCAAACTCCTTGTGCTTGCAGTTGCACCAGGATATTCTTCGGTAAGGGGCTGTATGAACCATCTGCACTGCAGTTGGCTTATCATGAAACACAGAACAGCTGTAACTCCTCCTCATGGTAAACTCCCTTGATCTTACTGCTCTCTACAGTCAGTCTAGGGGGGAGTGGGTGGGGGGAATGGCTTTCCACTCAGCCCACCAGGAAACCATCACCCATCACCCACGACTTGAAGAGAAACCACCTCTCTGCAAAGCAGATAAGGAAATCCACCTGTCAGCCCAGGAACACGACACATCCTTGCTTACCTCCTGAGAACTCCGGAACCACTTCCCAAGGTTAGCTTGCCATTTTACGCCTGACTACATGAATTTTTGGTACTGAACACTTAAGGAGCTTTGCAAATGACTGACTTATGGGGTTATGCGAACACTTCCACTTAGCTATCTCTTCAGCCACCGGGTTCTAGTCCCTGCAGTGAATTTCACAGGAAAGACCAAAACCTGCAGGACCCTAGTGGCCTGAAAAAAAATTCCAGTAGTTTTCAGTGAAAATTAGAAGTTTTGGAAAGATATTTCTACTTCACATTACCCTGCATTGTTTGCAATTCCACAGTAGCAGTAATAACCACAAAACATTGATCAACTTGGCATTCAAGTGTCACAAAATTTAAGCAGAAATTCAGACTGCTTCTATCTAATACATCATTTACACCTATACTTGTACATTCAGGATACATTCCCTGTGCCTAAATTTGTGAGCATTGTAACTGGAGCATGGAACAGGATATAACTCTAAGAACACGATGTCAGTGATCAATGACTTATGCTGCATTGTATCTTTTCTGGGAAAGGAGTTTAATGAACAGAGTCACAACACTTAAAACCTTGTGCTTTCAGCATCATGTAATTTAAACACTTCTATTTTGAGATGCAGTATTACCAGAAACAAAGTTATGTCAAGGAGCTATGTAGGAAAAGGATCCCTTAAGTAACAGCCAAAATCCACTCAGTCAGTCAAGTGTCTGGTTCTGAAGTGACTGTACATTACACTGTCTGTGCTGTGCCCACGCTGACTGCTGCTGCTGTAAAAGCTGGGAACTCCACAAGAAGACATACAACATACCCAGCCAGCAGGGAAAGACCACCCTAGGACACGGGCAACATTTTCTATTATGGTAACAAGGAAATAACCTTTTGCACTCTAGCAACCTGCTTGCCCCGCAGAAGACCAGAGTCTGCATAACCAAATAGGTCTCACTGCTCCCAATGCAGCGGTTCCAAATAATGTTCAATTGAGTATCATCATGTTCACTGCTACTTAATAACGACAGCTTTGTCAGTATTATCTCAGTCTTTCTATTACATTCAGAATGCTTCCTGGAGGAGCAGATTAGTAGAATATAGATACAATCAATGTATTACACCATATTGTAACACATACCTATTTAGACCAGCATGAAGTGACAAAAGAAACTGAATTGAGAGGGAGTCAACTGGCCTATGAAGTGGAAAATGAAGGGAAGTAGCCACTGAATTCCATGAGAATTCATCAAGGACATTTAAACTTAGACTCAAAACTCAGCTACAGTGACATGTAAGTGAAACCAGAAGCCACTCAGGATCAAGAGCCACTAGAAAATTATGATACTCAATCTTTGAGTAATTCTCAAGAGCCAGAGAACATCAATGGTTTCCAGTTGAAGAATGTGAGGGACCAAATCTGTTACGCACAAACTAGAACTGAGATGTCTGGTTTGGCTGTAGCAGTCTATATGCCATCTTGATCAAATGGTTAAATTTTACACACAGTGGTATGGGACAAGGCAGGTCACAATGAAACCCCAGAGGGTTAGGTCACAATGAAACCCCAGAGGCACAGCAAATCCAAACAGAACAAGCTATAAAACCAATCCTGGGGGTCAGGTCTATTTTAGGAAAGTCAGCAGCTGAGAACCACTTCCAGACCAGTTGCAACATATTCCAAGGAGTTTATAGTACCGAGACTGTAAGACCACTACTTCAGAACACTTCTCCCAGCCACCACAACAAATCCCATTGTGCAGAAAGCAACAGACACACCAGAGCATCCAAAATACTATATTCAAGTTTCAGTTCAGTTAACTCCCTGACTCAAGGTGAACAACAAAACCAACACTAGAACGGGTTTGCTCCATTTGTGATTCTGCAATTAGTTATTCTCTTTCAGGAACAAAAAGCACTATATGATGCTCCACAGGAATCAAGAGATTAAGTTGCTCCTATGAAAGAACATTGTCTTGTGATACAAGACCCAGGCTCCAGCCTCTCTCGCTCCTCTGGCAGCAGTACCTGAGGAAATTCCCGAGGCCAATGCCTGATGATGAAAGGCAGAAAAAAAGAAAAATCTTGTCTCAATTGGAGAATTGGAACAAAAGATCACCAGAGAGTGCCTTTAGCACACCATAGCAGTTTACTGCACTCAGACTTCTCCAGACACTCCAGGAGAGATACTCATCCCCACCTTACTTTCAATAGGTTTTGCTTCCAGTTAAAATTAGCTGTATCCCTTGAGGAATCCTCAATAACGGTGCACAAATGATAAAGAACTGATGAGACACAGAGAAACAGTACAGAATCACAGAAAAGGCAGACAGAATAGTCCAGGGAATAAAAGCTTGAACCCCAAGCTGCTGTCTGTCAGGAAAGGTGGGTGACAACCATTTAGGAGAAAAAAATCTTAGGCACATGGAACATGTCCTCACTTAAGACCAATAGGGGAGGAAGCCTGTTTGACTTACAGAACCTAGTTTCATTTACTTTTCCAAAAACTTCTTTCCACTTCTATCCAAGCAACTCTTTGAAGAGTTTTCTAAAAATGTGTGGAAAATAACTGAACCAAATTAATGACCCCACAGCAGCAGTGAAGAATCATAATGACTACCAAAGATGTCTCTGGGTGTCCAAAGTCCAACTACTCTATGGACAACAGCCCATAAAGCTGCTGAAGCTGCAAGGCAGGCAAGAGTGGGAGATAGAAACACAGGGTTCTTGCTCATAGGGCAGACAACACTGTGCCCTCAACCAGCCTCTGCAGCACAGACTCCACGCAAAGATCCCTAGAGACTTACTCTTGTCTAACTCTTGGAAGCAGCAGGCTCCTCCTCCAGCTGCTGCTAATCCATTACATGAACCCACTGAGGCAAGCACACACATCAAACATACTGTCCTCCCTTTGATGTGCTGCTCTTCAGAAGGGAAACGGCAAGCAGATTAGATTCCTTCATGTAGTGATCTGACAGGGCCTGTAAACATCTTGTGCAAGGACTGCCACACGCTGAGAGGAGGAGCAACCCGACAATAGTTTCCAGACCTTCTTCAGACCCAATTAGCCAAGATGGATGCTGGAAACCCAGGGGAAATTCCAGTGGATTTAGAATACTTCCCCTCACGCACTTAGAGTGGCTGAGCATTCCAGGAAAACATCTCCAGTTGGAAAGTCCAAGGAAGAATTCAGCAAACATCAACAATTAGCTGACTACTTAGTCAACTGAATCAAAACACATTGAACAGCTACTCAGCCCATTAAATCCATACAGATGGCTGTAGACCCAGCTTGTTCTGTGATTAAATCACACACAGCACCTTTGCTGCTTGTTGAACTTAATCAAGATTGCAAAGTCCATCCAAACATCTGAACTCAGCTTCCAGAGGGTAGGAAAGGGCAGCTGTGTTCTGCAGTTATGAATGCTTAGCACACTGCAGCAGTTGGAAGAAGAGCAACATGTGTATTAACTAGTAGCATTACAATGACCTGTAACCAATAAAACCACATCAAAAGAGCAAAATTATATGAAAAGCCCAAAATTTAAACCAAAGAAGCAATCAACTAATATGTGAGAAAGCTACACAAAGGTTATGTGCCATTGTCAGTAATTACCAGTCTAGCAGTCTCCAAACTGCAACAAGAACTCCTGTCCTCACAGGGGGCACAGAGGGTGTAGAAAGGGACAAGAAGGGACTTAAAACACTCAAGAAAATTGTACCTGTACATTTTGTCCTACCTCTTTCCTCAATTAAAAGGAAAATAATTCTTTTATCTCTAGCATTTACATGAACACTGTTCCTTTTCTTATGAATAAATGTCACATCGTAGACCTAGTCCACGATGAAAAACAGAATGGCTATAAAAGCTTCAAGGTTTCCTCTTCCAAACCACGAAAAATAGAAAAGAAGTGCCCTTCTTCAAGAAAAGTTTATTAGCTTGACATTTCAAAACAATACAGCCTTTTAAAATCAAAATTAAAGACGAGAGGTAGCACTCAATGTAGACTGGACTAAAAGAATAAGATTTCTAACCCAGGTACATATTCAATAAATGCAGAACCAGAAATTCTTCCGTTTAAACAGGGTCTAATGTGTCTTTTGAAGATTCCACATTAACCTGCAGAGAGCTCCAGATTTCCTTGAAGAGTTTGCACAACAGCAAGCCTCAAAAGCAACAGCAACCCATAAGGAAGAACCCCCTGCACTACAGGGAACGGCAGCACAGAAATACTGGGGATCAAGAATATCCAGGCTTGACACACACACATCTCTAGCAGTAACTTCAAACACATTTGTGTAAAAGGAAGGTAGTGCAACATACCCCAGTATGTTCACAGCTTTAGCAGTTTGTTACAGTTTACACCCTAAATCAGGAGTGGTACTCCTGGATTAAAAAACAATAATAAAACTGTGGATTGTCAAATCTGAAAGAACATGGAAAATGCAAACGTCTCTGTTATAAAGGAGAAATCACAATCAAATAAATGCAAATTCTACAAATCTGAAGGACTTACAGTGACACAGCTAACAAGTAATTAGTGGCATGAAGAGATCCATCCAAACAAGTATTTTCTCACTGCACTGCTCACCTGATCTTTGCAAAATGGTTGAGAAGTTCCCACAAGGTCTGTTGGCAGAGGAAGGTGTCTTGCAAACGAGAGCCATCGTCTAGTTGTAATGCTATCCGAACCTGTAAGAACACCACAATGAATTAATCTGAAAATTGAATGAAAACTCATTTTTCTTCACAACTTTTTAAAATATTTCAGTGCTTCTTTTTCATCCATGAAGGCATTCTGGCCTGAATTCCTGTCTGTTGGGATGAATGGCTCCTGAGCATGGGGGAGGCTATCCTAAAACACTAATCAGCTTTCATGGGCCCTTGTCCCCTGCTGTATCTTGAACTGGAACATATTCAGAGAAAAGCCAATGCAAAAATCCCAAATAATGTGTGATCGTGAGCAACGGAGGTGTTATGTTTTATACCAGATGAAACTTCACAGTAAGTGTCTTCACAGCCACATAAAACAAATTCCAATAACCCAGACACAACTGATGCAGCTGCACCATCTAAAACACCAACACAGAGCTCTGTCCACTTCAGCATCATTTTGCAGAACAACTTCCCTGGGACAAAACAGCTTACTTGCATATCCACACACAGCAACGATGAACACAATTCCCATCTATCCCTGCGCTACTGAAAACCTAAACAACTGTTACTAGTCCAAAGAAACGACGTTTGTAACTTGCAACTCACTAATGCTCCCTAACCACCACTTTTTGACATACAATTTAAGAGTGAAGTAACAAAAAAATCTCAACAGTAATTCTGATCGTTAAATTATCGAGTTCTTGAACACCTGCAGAAAAAAGCAGGGGCCAGCTAGCTGCCGATTTTAACAGGTCTTTTCCAGCCTGGAATGTAAACATCCACATACATTATCAGGCACCACACAGACTTTAGAGAATTGCTTCCCTAGCTCTCCCTCACAAAAAAAAAAAAAAAATCCAAGACAGTTCTAAAGTGCACATATTCTGGGGCTGGTCCTGAAGAACTTCAAACTCCTGATTGTCCCAAGGGAAGAGTTTAGCAGCTAACCAAGAGATAGAGAATGGCAGAGCTTACTGTAGAGATAAAGGTAGAGATAACTTCAGCTGTTATCTCTATCTTTTAGAGAACATTCAGCCTTTTTCAGAACATCTAATTCTTAGGTTTTCCCTGCTAGCCCACCTGTCTAAAGAAAAATCATACCAAGTCCTGTAGCCACTAGATAGAACCTGGTTTCTCCAGTCAACTTTAGTTTTCAGAAGTCCACAAAAACTGGCCTTCTTCCAAAGCCCGAGGACATTAGCCCAAGATAGCCAAAGCCACTTTCTTTCATTCTGTGTTTTCATGTGTCCCTACTAACACTCTCAGTGCAGCCTGTCACTGAGAGCAAGGTGGGTGTGCAAGCATGAGGGGCTACAGAGAGATGGGAAAGAGACATCACGTGTTCTAGCAATCCACTGTGATTTCCATGGAGGAATATGTTTGTCATCTGCCTTGGCTCCCACCAGTCCTCACAGGGCTGCAAATGTTGATCTGCTGGAGACAGGAATTTTTCACAGAAAGGAAACAGTGGCATCATTAATAATGAGCCGACAATACAATGTCGTTTCATCCCACCACTAACACAGCCTCCTGGTTTCTCCTACACGGGAGACAAGCCTTAGATTATTCTCAGCTACAGCAGAGCGATGACAGCTGACATCACCATTCTGTAAGAATCCAGCCCAGAAATTCAGACTACCAGTTGCATCAGTTTTTGGGCAACAGTTCAAAGCTAAACATGTCACGAAAGTCCTATTCAGTCCATTAGAAAAGTATCTTTGAAAACCCCAGGGGCTACATAAAATAATAGAGATCGGTGCCAATTATTGTCTAAGTTTACAAACATTTAAACAAGAGGCTGACAACTTTAACACCAGAGCTGTATTGATGGTGCTCCTGCGTCACCTGCCATCACACTGGGAATTTGTTCCATTTTTCACTAAAGAACTGTCTTACAGGAAACAATGCTTTCCACACGTAAACACAAATCCAAAAGCTTTCTATTTTTAAAATATCAGAGTTGCTGAACAAACTCATCACTTATCAAAACCTGTATTCTGTCTCTAGGGTAACTGCTGTCACTACAGGAAAGTACACCTACTTCCACACACATAATCTTAATAGAACACACAGTAACAGAAGACACTGAATCAAAATCATCCCAACGTTACTCAGCCAGCCAGCATGACTGAGTTTGCATCTCAACTGCCACTACAATCCAGTCACAGGCACCTGGCTGTTATCAAATTCCCTATTTTTTTAACACATACTCCCTGTGGCAGCAAATTCTTTTTAGTCAGTTGTTCTATACAAAGTCTTTCCTTACAATGTGAAATTCTCCCAAGTAAAATCTGCTCAAATTTGCGGGACAGGGACTCTGTTTAGATTCCACTCTTTACATGCACATTTTGCTGCATCTTCTCACCTTCATGACACAGCAACCAGCACTCCCAGGGAAGCCTCACTTCTGTAGGACGTTCTGCTGAACTGCAACTAAACAGTAACAACTTACACTTCTATTAGCTCTTCTCTTTTGTGATCTAAAGTAACCAGTCCACACTATAACCCCTCTCCTAACAGTGAAAAGTCCTTCTTGCCCTTTCTCACCATATAACTTCAGGGAAGAAAAAACATGAAATCATTGTTTTCCTTCAGTACGTCCCAAACTGGATGCAAATGTCAGATAGTCATTACTGCACCATTTCAAGAGGAACACTTTTCTCTGGAAGACATACTCCATTCCACTGCAACATTTCACTGAAAATTTTAAGCAGATGCTACTGGTTTGTGGTATTTTTTTAAGCAAAGACATCATTCGAAGCACAAATATCTTTCTACCCCAAAATCAGAAAAAAAGGCATTAGTGCCAAAACAAAGAACACGGAGGTTTTACGGAGAAAAATATGAACATCAGGGACCCCCAAAACTATGTTACACAGTGAACTAAAGCAGACTCCAAAGCCTTCTCACACCACAAAGTTCACTTTTCAACGTATCAGTTTATCTCTATAACAGCTAAGAGTATCTGCCTTTAACAAACACCACTAATGCTGCTTGGCTGACAGACACTAAGAGATCAGCACCAGTAGACATGAAACTTACATGAAAATCAAGAAACTTCCTATGAGGAAGTTAACAAATAGCAAGATGACTGTTAGTGATAGACAAATTTCCTTTCCCAGGTTACTTAAGTAAGATCACACATAATTTTTACAACATGAAAAGTTCACACTCAGTAACATTGCTTGAAAAGTTAGGCCTATGGCCACAGGGATATGTACAGAAGATTTTTACACTCCTAAAAGTGGCCATAATTTCTAGAGAAAACAGCATCTGTAAGCCCTTTGCAAATAATACTAAACAGGGATATTTGGCCACTGGTGAACACAGAACATGTCACGAAGGACTCTAAAGCTCTGTAAACACACCATGAACACCAATGCTGGGAAAGCAGCAAAAGAGGATTCTGAAAGAATCTGAGGTTTAGTCAAAATCCAGAGCTGGACAACAGCAACTGAAACAGAAATTAGGAAAGGGAACTGAATTAGTCATCACTGATGTTTAGCCTCTTAGCTATCCATGACTACTAGTTTTTCAGCTCCCCAAACCATCCCACTCTCCGCCAGCACAGCTGGGACCCTATGCTCATGCAGACTTGACTTTCAGTTACTTAACTACCATTTTCAACTTCATTGCAACCAGCCTTCAGCTGGTCTCTCACATAGGCATTGGCCATGCCAGCCTGTGCTCTTGATCATTAGATCTGATGGGATCATATCAGCACAGCTGGTAACTGAACAAATCAGGTCACACTGTGTAAATGAACATACCGCGGTTCCAGCTCCTGCTCTGTTGGAAACTGGCACCATCTCCAGTTTGGCATTGTTGGGCAGCCTAGCGAATCTCCACTGCAAAGATAGGTCCAAAACATTCCTCTGAAACCTAAAGGAGAACAGAGCCTATGAGCAATACAAAGTCCAGGTATTGTGCAAGAAAATTCCCAGGAGGCTGACTAGAAGCCATAGAACAAACTTGATTCAGTAATGAATGATTTGTGATTATAAAAGCATCATCAACAAAAGCTATTCTGCATACCAAAACACCTGCAGTTTGTAGAGGTTGCAGAGAAGATACCCAAAACTATGTTCTTCCTTTAAAGGTTTTTAAGAGATGAACAGCAACCAACTAATAACCAAGCCTTGTTAAATACCAGTGTACTCTATTATTCTTTTATTATTTTTTTTTTTTTAGTGCTACTCAGACAAATGAGCTCTCAGTTACGACACCATGAAAGCACAGGGTCAACCCCCCAGCGGGCGCAACCGGTCTGTAGCCTGGATGAGGAGCACGCGTGGGTGTCCCGTGACAGCGACATGGGCCTCGCCGTCTGTCCCAGCAGCGGAAGGAACCTGGCACAGGGACGTGCCGAACCTGAACCTGGGTACCTCGGCCCCTCGCACTCCCACCGGCCGCCGCGGGCTCCGCCAGGCCCTGGACGCCCGGCGGACGGGGCGCGGGCTCCGGCAGCGCCCGGGCCGGCGGGGAGAACGGCGGCGAGCGGGGCCTCTCCCGCAGGCAGCCGGCCCCGGGCCCGGCCCCGCGGCAACACTCACTTCAGGCCGTACTCGCCAGGGCTGCCACCCTGCTTCCTGCAGACCTCCTCGAGGACCTGCGGAAAGAAGAGAGGCGTCACGGCCAGCCGGCGGCCCTGTCGCAGCCTTCCCCTCAGCCCCCTCCCCACCGGGGACCCACCTGGAGTAGGACCGTACCGGGCCCCACCCGCACCGTGACCCGCCGCCCGCTGGGCGCCAACACCGACACCGCGGCGCCGCCCCCGCCCGCCGCCGCCATCTTCCCCTGCCGTTCCGGCCCCGCGCTACCGGGGCGGAGTCGGCCCGGGGCCGTCCTGCTGCGGGCCCGCCCCGGCGGGGAGCGGGACGGGGGCGCCGGCCCGGGCCGGGCCGGCGGCTGCGAGCCGTCGGGGACGAGTCCCGGCCTGGCGGAGCCGGCCTGCGGCGGGACGGGCAGGCGGGTCTGAGGCCGGGGCGGAGCGGTTCGCCCATAGCGGCGGCGAGTGCGGTTCCCCGGGCGCGAGGGGCGCTGGCGGCAGCAACGGCCCTTGGACTGGGCAGCCGGTGGGCGGCTCGGGCTGCTCCCCCGGCGTGGGGCGGGGGCTACCCCCGGCCCTGCCCGCTGGGCCCGAGTGGGGGCGGCTCAGGAGCCGCCGCCGTCTCGCAGCTCCGCGGGGAGCGAGGGGAGCCAGCCACGCGTCTCGCTGCGACCGACGGCGCTTGTGTTGTCCCTTGGGTTTCCAGTGTCGGGGTCAGCCACTTCCTTGGTATACCGGGACCCTGCCCAGCGGCGCAGGCGGCGACCCCGAAGAGAGAGCCGGCCCGCCCGGTCATCCCCAGGCAGCGCTGGTGGCCAGAAACCCCTTGGGCTGAAGGATTACTGTCTCTCTCCCAAGCAGTGATACCGAGAATTTCTGCGCCTACAGGGAAGGTTCTCCCGGGCCAAAGAACAGCCCTGGCGAACGCCGCATGTCACAGGGGAATGGGGAGCATCCTGCCGCCTTCCCCTGGCACAGGAGTGTCCAGGCAGTGTCACAATCCTGCTGCCCCTGAAAGCCTTTCCCCCTCCCCAGAAGAAGAGTTGATTTGGAACCTCGTAGTAAGTGCTGCAAACTCAGATGGTCATGAGAGACGGCTGCAGCCAAGGAACAGAAATAATACATTTCACAACACACAATTTCCCAGAGACTTTATTTCATTTATGGATTTCCCCTTCAGTCTCAGCATGGCCTCTGCATCAAAGGCGCTCTCAGATTTGATGACAGTCTGTTTAGTTTGCTATCATAAAAACAAAACAAAACAACCCACCAAAAAAAAAAGAACCCAAAACTTTTAGTTTGAGTAACCACTGGAATTTATTTAGCCTAAGTTGTAACCACATGCCAAATACTTTCTCTTTTCTCTACTTCTTCTATATTTATCCTATATATTAAGCTTAAGTCTCCACCTCTACCCCCAGCACCCACAAAAATGTCTGGTTTGCTTGGCTTGTAAAGGAAAAAAATCCTTCCAAGGAAAGACACTTTCATAAAAGATAAAACTTGTTTGTGTTTACCATATCAGCAGTGTCAGAGAAGGGAGAAAAAAGGGAATTTTAAGGATGGAGAGACTTACTCTGGCTTATCCATGTGGATTCCTAAGTCCACCCAGTCCCCTAACTGTTCAATGAGATGTAGAAATAGTAATAAAGGATGTCCAGGTGTAAAATTTTTTAAGCATTTTTTAAAATGCTTAAAAACATCTTCACATTTTGTTCGTTCCATTAAGCAGTATCATTGCCATCACATTTATAGAGATACAGTGTTCAGGACATATAGTTTTTCACCTTTTGAATTGCCTTTTGCTATTAATATACATGAAGAAATTGAGGACTTAAGGACAAGATTTTTTGAAAGTTGACACACTTGCCTAAAAACGGGTGCTACAAATACCTGATAAAGTACTTCTTAGTCAATAAGAACAACAATAATAATGATATTCAAGTACTTCTTAGTTGTTAAAATAGGGAGAGATCCAAAACTCTGCAACTATCTCATGCACAATGAAGATATCCCATTCTTCCACCCCGTACTTTTGCTGGAGAACAAGAAGCAATTAAGATGACTTTGTTAACTGCAGTGACTATCCCCCTGCTCAGGCAGAACAGCCATTCTGATTTGAAAGACACGTTTTGGGTTTCATAGCCCAAAACACCGATCTCATTTCTGGATGGGTATAGCTCCTATATGACGTCTGAAGCAGGCAGCTGTTTCTTTTTTTTGCATCTGGAAGTGACACATCCCTTAAAGAAATGTTGCTCCTGTTAAAAAGACACCAATGTAATTTGAGCTGAACATTTCCAAGTTGTGGGATTAGGGTGATTCTGGTTATTAATAGTATGTCATAATCACAAAGTTGAATGGAGGTGAAGGGTCACATTTCATACGCAGAGCCACTTCTAATCTCAAATATTTATCTGAAATTAAAAGCATCAGGAAAGAAATGAGGGAGATGACTAGAACCTGGAGTCCATTAAAGTGCCACAAAGAGAGAGGAACTCATTTGGGAATGGCTGAAAGCACCCTTATGTCTGATTTCTGTCACTGTTAGGCTGCAGGATGCCTACGAATCTACCAGATGAGCCAAACATCCTCCAAAAATTTGTCTTAAATTGCATTTCTTTGGTAATTACAGTGAACACACCGCAGAATGACCTTCCCTAATCCCACTTTTTAGGCAGCTGCTATTTTGCATTCAATATATAGCCCTGGCACTGTCTGCACTTGCGCTGTCACAGGCACACAGGGAGTAACACATATTTGCATCTTCATAAAGCAGCAAAACCTCACCTTTTGTTTTTTATTTCTTCTTTTAAAATGAATAGGAAATTAGCTGTGAACATCTATAAATATGTAGTAATGAGCTTTAAAACGTGATGCAGAACAAGCTGCTTATTGCAGTAACAATAATTCTGGAGTGTTTCCTGCTGCCTGTACCAACATCACTGACCACAGAGTGTCCTGGGGATGTTCAAGAGATGGTTCTTACCAGAGCATCACCAAGCACATCACATATGTACCCAGGCTTTAAGAGGGCTCTGCTGCTCTCCTGGACTTCTTTACAAGCCCTGGCCTCGGGGTCAGAGGAGGCAGCAGCAGCATGACTGTGCGAAAACAGGATTCTGTTGGTGAGTGGTGCTGTATGGGGTAATTTACACACAAGACAAGACCCAAGCAATGAGCCAGGGAGCTCAGTCTGAGCCAGAGCTGCAGAGGGGCTCAAATCAGGAATGAGAAGTGGTTATGAAGGGGAACCATACCTGTGGCACAAGCCCTTACACAGGATCCAGGTGTAACCCCCTTGGTTTCCGAGTTTCCTTTGGAAATATCTAAAGGGCGAGTGCTGGGGCTGCCTTAATCCTGGCAGGGTATGAGGGAATTCAGAACTGTCTCATAAGCTTTTGTACAGCACAGTCCAATGTACTGAACATTTAGAGACATATCTTGTGACATAGTGGAACACATTATGCAGAACATTTCACTTTCAAGGGTATTATATGAAAACAGTATATCCCATAACATTATTCCCAATCATTAAAAGTCTCCTGCTTGCTTCCTATGTGCCTCACTCCTACCAATAAAAATACCAAATCTCTACTGCCTGGAGCAGGACTCCAATTCTTGCAGCTTTCTCTGAGCTTCTTTTTGTACTGAGGCAAATCTATTCAATTTAGGAAGGCTTTTATAAAAAGATTAAAACTCAGTGAACCTCTCATGCAGAAGTATTATAAAACTATCTAAAATCTGTGTCACTTTGGTGTTCATTCAAGTTCAGTATGTCAAGGAGTTCAACAGTACCATATTTAAATGTTTAGAAATCAGAAAGGCTGTTATACCAGACCCACAGCCTTACATTCTTCCCCATAGCCCCTTGCTCAGCCATGAAAAGTAATACAACATTTTACTGAGCTTGGGAAGGATAGCAGGAGTGCTCTGAACAAACCCTACCCTGAATGACCTGAAGCAGAGGTCAGAGGGCTCAGTAAAGCCAAGCCAGGCAAAATTTAAATTTCTTTGCTTCCCTTCTTACAACAAAGATCTGCAGCTTTATCGTGCATTCCTCTCTGCCATAAGACGCTTCCCTGGTGCATCATAATCAGTCATCCTTTAATGCGCCAGCTGGTTACCAAGCAAGGCGTTACAGAGTGCGGGAACTCAGCCCTCTGTGGGGAGAAAGGGACACCAGAAGGAATACAAGCCTGGCAACAGGAGGCACAGCAGCCTTACTGCGACGGATGGAGCTCAGCAATCTTACCCCTTCTGGTTTCTTGATGTACCTAATGGACTACGAGGTCCTGAAGTTAAGGCATCTTTTCCAGGGATCCTAGAGCACTCGGAAGACTTACTGCTTCAGACTTTACACTAACTGACCACTTTCCAGATGAAGCTCTGCTAAGGCTGACTGATGAGTTCTTTAACTTGCCATTACTAGTCTCAGCGATCCATTGCTTGGACCTGGCGCCGACAGTGAGGAAGGGAGGTTTAGGCCAGTGTAGAGAAAGATACAATGATGCAGAAATATTCTGGGACCAAAAACTTGTCAGGGGGTGAATGTAGTGCATTTGAGGAGGTGCACAGGCAATTGAGCACCTTTTCTTGCCTTTAAAGATACTATTGTCAGTATCAGCACTTAAATAAAACATTTGGGGGTAAAAATCAGTGAGACCAGAGCAAGAACTGAGAGTACGTACGAGTAACAGAAAGATAAAAAAACCAACATGGCAAGCAAACCAAAACCACATGCTACGTGTGTAGGAAACACAGAGCTGAGCCGACACTCAGAAAGTCCAAACACAGTAAGGTAAAAAATGTAGTTGCAGCAGTTGGACAGCCCTAATTCCATCTTGATTAAAAAAACCTTCCACGTGCTATTTTAAGATTATACTATTTTCACCTTTGCTGATCTCAGATAGATTATACTCCCCATTAAAGACAATCTTCCTGTTCCCCTCTGGAGGGTTGGTGAGGAGCGTGAGTTGTCCTATTTCGTATCTAAATGAATTATTCAAAGCGTAGCATTTTCTCTGTTTTACCTCGGGTTTTAACTCCGAGGTCTGCGATAAGGCCATTTCCAGGGAAATCCCCCTCTCCCAGATGACCGGCACTCTGGTGACAACACGGCTTTTTCCCCAGGATTTTTCTTGCAATTCCTGGAAACGTCCGGGCCCTGGGGGAGCGGCGGGCGGTAAACCTCGCGAGCTGCGGAGAGCAACAGGGCACAGCCTCTGCGGCGCAGAGACTCCGACCCCCGGGAAAGCAGAGTGGGGGCTGCAGGGGGGCCGGAACCCCCGCCTCCGGCCTGCAGCAACTGCGGCACGCCCGGGGCCTCCACGTCCCCTCCTGTTCTCGGCAGCAGCATCCTCCGGCCGGGGGCGACCCGCGGCCGTCCCCGGTCACCCGCGGAAGACAGCAGACCGGACGCCGATGTCTGGCACCGAAGGACCGCTTCCCGCCGCGCTCTGGGAGCCGGGGCCAGGCCGGACGCGGCACCGCGGGCCGTCCCCGGGCCGCCGTGCGGGGTCCCGCAAAAGAGCGATCGTCGGGCGCGGGGCTGAGCTCCGCCGGTGAAGCGGCGGTGGCACGTCCCGGGGCGGGGCGGGCAGTGCCGCCGACGCGGAGCCGGGGAGGAGCTGCCGTCGGGGCTGTGGGGGGAGAGGGGCGGATCGGGGGGCGCGGCGCGGGCCTGGGGCGCCGCCACGGGGGCTGCCACGTGCGGGGTCTCGGGCTCGGGCGGCCCGACCGCCCCCCCGGCCCCGGCGAGAGGCCGCCCCGGGCCCCCGCCGCCCTGCGGGCGAGGCTGTCGGGCGCCGCCGCCACCACCGCGGCCCCGGCGCCGGCAGGGGCGGCGATGGCGTCGCAGTCGAGCGCGGGGCGCGCCCCGACGGAGCGGCCCCGCCGTGCCGGTGCGGTGCGCCGCGGCGCAGACCCCCCGCTCCCTCCGCCTCGCTCCGAGGGGGCGGAGGGCAGGGCAGGGCGGGGGCTGGCCGGCTGCTGCCCCACGCGGCGCCCGGGCTGGCGGCGCCCCCGGCGCGCTCCCCGCGCACTCCGTGCCCCTCTGTCATGCTCGCCGCCTGGGAGCGGGCGGCGGGCTCCTGTGCCGGCAGCCGCGCCGCTGAGCCCGCGCCGCCGGCGCTACCCTCTTCGCCCGCCGCCGACCCCCGTCCCCGCGGGTGGCGCGGCGGGGCGCGGCGGAGCGCGGGCGGCGCTGCCCGCCGCCGGGGACTGGCGGCTGCCGCGGCGAGCGGCGGGTGGCG